CCTGTGCTCTTGTTCTGTTTTGACACATGTTCGATTTTAGGTCTGTTCGGTTTTGGAAGCGTTCGAATTCGTCGTACCCCCATCGGATTTAATGAGACTTTCATAGAAAATATGATCTCCAAGTGTCACGCCAAAACACCACGCCGCACTTGCAAAGCGATGGGCGGAGCGTCGGTGGGGGGAGGCGTGAATCAAAGTACGCAAACACCGACTCTCACTTTTTTATTCCGACAATAGTATCAGTTAAAGGAGGCCAGACACCAAAAAAAAATTTTCCCGATTTTTTGCATAGAGAACCCCCATGAGGGGTTGAACTCATGACAGGCAGCTCAGGGGTACAGCGACGCTACCGGCTGGGCTACGGGGGCGCGAAGGCACCTGACGACCGATGGTCTAAATAAGCGCGGCGCAATTTCGTCCCCCGAACTGTCCCCCGAAATGTTTGCTGTCTCGCTTCCTTTAACAGATTTTTGATATATCTCATAAGAACCGAGATAATTAAGGTCACCAGATCCTCCTTTCTTACTTCTTCAGCTGGATTTGTGACACCTCCTTGCCAAATATTCTCCGTATAGTGACCCGAATGATGTACCAACTCGCAGTCTTCAGAATGTCGTTCAGCTCGTTTGCTGGCTACATCACCATACTGTGAATTCCATCTCAACCTATTCATATTCGTTGCAGGCGGAAGCTTTTCCGATTTCGAAACGAAATCTCCTTTTGAGATTTTTGATCGGAAGTCGTTGTGAGCTTTTAGAATTTTTCGCCAGGCGTTTTCATCAAAAGTTGAAGAATGGACTGCTGAAAAAAATACTAGGGGTGCTTAGAATCAACAAAAAAAAGAGATGGCTAACTAGAATATAGATATGTCGAAATAGCAAGATAAAGCAGAAGCATCATGTGTTGGGAAATTGGATTGTACTTTTGAACTTTCTGATTACCCACGTATTTTTGAAAAATAAAAAGTTCACATTGAGGAACTTTGTTTTCTTTAACCGACCGTGAAGCTCTAGGTCGTCTCTCTCTCTCTCTCTCTCTCTCTCTCTCTCTCTCTCTCTCTCCCTTTTTCTGAATTCTGGTTTTCGAAATCAACAACATCTATTCGCTTTATTATTCTTATTCTTATTCTCTTGTTATTCTTACAGTAAACTTTTAAAATCTGACCGAAAAGTTTCAATAAATGGAAAAAAACTAGCTCAAGATAGGTGAAAACCCGCATGAAAATTTTAAAAATCAAATTTTAGATAAGTCTAAATTTAGATTTGTCCATACACTGCATATCCGGCTGTCATGTCGTCGTCAGGGTAGATTACTGTACTTTGGTATCGAGGGAAATCCTGAAATTTAAAACTTTCATAAAAATGGACAGATATGCTCAATGCTCATTTTTACATAATTCTGTAAAAAAATCATTTCTCTAGCTCATCTGGGAGCCGAGATACAGCGATTTAAAGTATTGGCGGCTAGAGACGCAGACAACGAAAGACACTGCGTCTCTAACTTTTGAATTTACTATCAACTTGTTCCTCATCACATTTTAAACATTTTGGTTCAAACTTCAGATTTCAAGCTAAAGAGCCGAGAAACAGCTATTTGAAGTTGGCGAGGTTAGAGACGCACTAACCGAGGCAACCCAAGCCACCAACTTTGAGCTCATATATCTCGGTTCCTGAACAATATATCAAAAAGTGGTGAACTGGCAAAATGTTAATGTAATTATAATAAACATTTTGTCAGTTTACAACTTTTTGATAGCTTTTACAGAAACAGAGATATTTAGGCTCAAAGGTAAAAAGTCGGCTGCCGACCGCGTAGCTCAGCTGGCAGGGGCCGATTTTTTAAACTTTGAGTAGTTTGATCTCGGTTCCTATGGAAGTTATCAAAAAGCGTTGACAACCGCTTGATATCTTTTACAGGAACTGAGTTAAATGGGCTCAAACTTTTTCTGGTAGATCTGTCTATCCCCACCTGTTGTTTCGAAAACTGTCTTCCAGCGAAATTATCGGCAGCGTTCCAATAGAATTCGCTGCTCATTCGAAAATAGTACTTCACCAATTTGAACATTGCAAAGACACACGGAAGCAGGGAAATACATAAAAGCAGTGATGACAGCAAAAGTGATTGGACCGGAGCCAGTGATCGGGCACATTGATTTGTATTGATTGAATAGTTTTCAATCAGACTCTGATGATTCGTATCGATGATTCCTCTGGCTTGTTGGTTTTGAAGTTGAATGGTGGCACAGAGAAGTTCATGGCAGTGTGTGTAGAATAGAGTGAAGCTGGAGAAAATGAGCATGCACGGAGACATGAATAGCAAAATTGAGGCGTTGATGGAAACCACTTGGCCAATCTGAAAACTACAGTAATCCTTTCTCTCCACATTTTTCTTTGCTCACCTTATTCGAAACACTACTTCTGTTCATCGGATGATCACTATAAATATAGCATCCAGTTCCCGCGACAACCAAGAAAAATGTGGGAAGAATCACAAAAAGAAGGGCCAAAGCAACAAAACAGAATGTCAATCGGCAGACGAAGACCAGGAATCGGGAATGGAGACTGAAGTAGGTCAAGTTTGGATTATAGGAGAGACTATTGTCAGCTGGAACGTCTGGATGTGTTTCAGCATGTGTGAGAAGTTGGTCGAGAACGTCGTCCTGAAAAACTCCATTTAGACATGGTGGCCTAACTTTTGCTAAGTGGATTTTTCTAGGCCACCACCTTTTATGGTCTAGAAATGGCTTGATATTCAGGTGGGATTNNNAGGCCATTTGAACAGGGTGGCAGAGGCAGTNGNAAGNGGNCNAGNNAGGCCACCATGGTAAATGACTCAGAAAACCCACCAGGTGAATATCAGGAAATTTCTAGGCCATAAAAGTTGATGGCCTAGAAAACTCAACTTGCGAAAGTTAGGTCACCATGTCAAAATCATCTAGAAAACACACCAGGTGAATATCAGGCCATATATATGGTGGCCTAGAAAACTCATTTTTGCAAGAGTTAGGTCACCATGCTAAAATGACCTAGAAAACACGCCAGGTTGATATTATGCCATTTCCAGACCATTTAACATAGTGGCCTAGAAAACTCAACTTGCAAAAGTTAGGCCACTATGTTACATGATAAAAAGGAGACTTACAGAGTTAGTCTCCTCGATTTGTGTCCAAGTGACTTCTGGGAAAATTGCGGAAATTGTGGATGGGCTCGCAGTTGTTGTGGTTTTTGTCGTTGTAGTTGTAGTCTTTGTAGTTTCCATTGTTGGGGCTACTGTAGTTGTGCTTTTCGTAGTACTTGCGGTTGTTGTGGGTACTGTAGTGATGGGAACTGTAGTCGTCGTAGTCATCGTTATCGTCGTCGTTGTCGTTGTACTCTCCTCACTCTCCACGTCTTCTGAATCTTCTTCTTCTATCGTCATCGTCCCGCCTGTCACCACTAGACTCTGATTTTCAGAAGTTTCCGCTTCTTCCGAATTGTCCGCCACGTCTTCAGGATCTTCAGAGTTTCCGAAAATCTCAGCAATGCCTGGAATGCCGGAATGCTCCTGAACTTGGTTCTTGATTTCTTCTTCAGTTGGTAGACTCGGTTCAGGAAGATTCTGAAGTCTTTTGAAACTTTCAAATTCATCGATTTTATCTTCTTCTGAACCGTCGTTTTGATTTGAGTTCAAATCCAGAATCGGCCGATTTTTGGTGATAAATTTGTCGGATGTTCCGGTGAATGTCACTTCGGCCAATGGTCGAATAGGGATTTCTATCCGTTTTCGGAACGTGTGAAGTAGAGGTTTTCGGTGCTGGAAGATTAAAATTGTATTTTTTTCCCCAATTTTTTCTGCGTTGCTATATGAATCTACTTATTTTTCTATACATTTTGATGTGATAAAAATATAGGCCCTTCAAAAAAATCAACTCACAATATGAATTCGCTTCAAACTCTTTCTCGGCGCCTCCGATACATTTTCAAAATCTCCGTGGTAGTCGTAACTGGCGTATAAGTCCCCAATTGTGCTTCGAGACAGTCTCTGAAAAATTGTTTTTGGAAAATGGGTTTCACTGGATCTGAGATTTTCAAACTAAAGATTTAAAAAAATTATATAAGCCAGTGATCCTAAAATTGTCAATTAAAATAAAAGAAAACCACAAGAGAAGCATTTGTGAACGGCTTCCGAGCATCCAGCTTTTCGCTCCAGAATCCGATTCCTGCCAAAACGAAATAAGCGGATGCGCTTGTGACGATGAGCCAGGAAATGAAGAAGAGCATCAGATAAATGGCATAGTTGGTTGCGTTCGATGGATATTCCTGAAATCTATGATTTTTGAAAATTCAGAACATTTTAGATTTTCAAACATACCTGATACTTTTGCGATCCACATTGACCCCGAAACCGGCAAATGAGAAATATAATGGCAAATACGATCAGTCCAATAGAACAGGCAATCAGAGAAAATAAACTGGCAGCTAGCAGAGGTTGACTGGTTATATGCTCTTCGAATAATCCAGTGTCCAGGAGGTCTTTCTGGAAAACAAACATTGAAAATTTGAACTCATTTTTCTCGATTCCTGTGAGAGATACTAAAAATCGGTCAACTGCTAAAATCTTGGTGAATTTCTGATAAAGATTTTAACAGTTGACAAAATTTTGATATCTCTTCTTAGGGAGATAATTGAACTCAAGGTGGGCTTCTATATTTTGGTCTAAGTTCACCTTAGAATTTTAGAATCTCAAAATCCAAAAAAAAATCTTAAAACTCACATTGTCAGTGTCAATTATCCAATCATCAAGCATTCTTAATTATACGAAATACTAATTCAAATGAGAAAGTGAAATAATAACACAAAAAAAGCCCGGTTTCTTCAGATTTCTATCTACAGTAGTGCAAATCTTCCACCGAGACTAGGTCACTTTTTCACCCCATAATTTCCCTTTCGTCACTCAAAAAAACGAAAATCGAATCGAATTGTAACGGGAACATCGCAACCTAATCATCCGGAAATAATCGAGATAGGGGAATGGTTTTGAAAAGGGCATTTTAGTAATCCATATAAGAAAGTTCGCTCTATGGAGAACTATTGTTTGTTGATGACCTATCAACTTTTAGCTCACATATCTCATTTCCTGTCAAAGATATCAAAAAGTTGTCAACAGATAAATTGTTTATCATAATATCATTAACATTTTATTAGTTGATACCTTTTTGATATCTCTCACAGGAACTGACATATACTATTTCAAAGTTAACGGATACGACTAGTTTTTTGCCAATAGAGCGCACTTAAAACATACCGTATCCCAAAAATGATGTAAGGTTCTCTCCGCCGCATCATGATCGTGACGCAATGTAAGTGCGTTTAAAATATAGGAGGCCATTAGGACATAGTAAGTCTGGAATATAGTATTTTTGTATTACCAAAGTGAAAATTTGAAAATGTTGAGTTTGAGAAATTCTTGAAAACTTAAAAAATGTCTTGATAAGAAGCCCACTTAAACTGACAACTTTGAGCCAATTTATCTCAATTCTTGTGAAACATATCAAGAATGTGTCAACTGATAAATTGTTTATCATGATATCAGCAATATTTTATCAATTGACAAATTTTTAATATCTTTTACAGGAATTGAGATAAGTAAGCTCAAAGCTGGCGGTTTGGGTTAGGTTCTATTAGAGAGAGTACGGTAACAACTTCAATTCGAAAATTTGATAAGAAGAACATTGAAAAGTTCTGCCAAAATCATTTCTGCCAATCATCATTTTTCCGTCCGTACACATTACAACCAAGATTTATTGATAAAGAGGGAGACTATCAAAAGTGTGGGATAAGTGTTAATGACCGGCTCATTCAACAAACAATTAGGATGAATAGGAGGCAGGAGAGTGAGGGAGGAAAATGAGATCAACCGGAAACACTTTTAGGTTTTGGTTTGGTTTGGTGACGTAAAACCTGTAATAGAAAAGCCCCAACCCAATACTGAAAACTTTGAGCTCAGTTAACTAGGTTACCATGAAATATATTAAAAATCTGTCAACTGATAAAATGGTTATCATTTAATCACAAATACTTTAATAGTTGAAAATTGTTTGATATCTCTTATAGAAATAGAGATAATTGAGTTCAAAGTGCAAATATAGGGTGACCTTTTATTAGAGTGTTTACGGTAATGTCACTTCAAGGCAGTGGACAACTTGAACGACTACATTCATTCAAAAGACGAGGTGCCAGAGAAAAAAATAAAAATAGAAAATGCGGAAAAAGGAAGCCAAAAAACTTTGGAAATCTCACCGAATCGGTCTCGATGGCAGACTCCATTTTTCGCCACCTCCAGGAGGCGATTTCCGTCTTCTTGTTTCCTCGGAAAGCCAAAAGATTTGTTGGCTCACACCCTACCCCCGAGACAAACATGTCAAATTGGGGGGAAGAGAATACGGAACGGGCGGTCCCTTATATGTTTGTGTTGTTATGTCTGTAGGACTTGGGGGATGTGATTGGGTACGTATAGTACCTGTAGAGAAGTTTCAGTTACCCTGAACACTCTAATAGAAAACCACCAACTTTGAGCCAATTTATCTCGGTTGCTGGGGGAGATATCAAAAAATGGTCAACTGACAAAATGTTGCTGATAATATGATAAAAATTTAGTCAGTTGACAACTTTATGGTATATTTTACAGAAAATGAGGTATGCAAGCTCAAAGTTGACCCCGTTTTCGGGCTACTTGCAAGTTTGATTATTACAGTCCTGACGTTATTCCAAACCGTCAATTTTGAGCTCAATTATCTCGCTTTCTGTGAAAGGTATTAAAAAGTGATCAACTAAAAAAATGTTGCTGATATTATGATAAACATTTTATCAGTTGACAAATTTTTATAACATTCACAAGAACTGAGATAATAAGGCTCAAAGTTTTTTTTTTCCACAATCAAGCAATTTTTTCAAAATCAGCATTTCATAAAACCAAACTATCCTAACAAAACCTTCATTCCACCATAAAACTAATAGTCACAACAGCAATAGCTCCAAAGCAAAATAAATTAACAAAAAGAACAGCTTTCTAGAATATCCTGAATTAATACACGGCATATATTCGCAATGTCCCCATCCAGTCATTCGCTCCATAACTTTGATATATTGACAATACGACATTGCCGACGTATGACCACAGTAGTTGAGGAAAACTGATCGTTCGCACTGGGTAGTAATTTTGACAGAGCTAAAAGTTCTTTGGTTGGACTTTTTGAAAAATATGTGGACTCACTTGCAAGTTCCGACTTCTAGAACTGAGCACTCATTGAATACCGTATCCGAGAGCTCGTCTAGGTCGATGATTTCTAGACAATCGTAGTAGAAGACAACTGGAAGGAAAAACAATCTTTTTTTCTCCAACATCAGCTTTAGGCTCAATTATCTCGGTTTCTGTAAAAGATATCAAATGTTTGCCAACTGATAAAACATTGGTGATATTGTGATAAACAGTTTATCTGTTAACAAATTGCTGATATCTTTCGAAGGAACTGAGATAATAGAGAGCAAATTTGATGATTCGACTTACAATCGGATCCGTGCTCACAGTAAAATTGAAGAAACGCAGTCTGTGATAAATAATAGCTAGAGTCAAGTTCATTGTGAAAAATAGCTTCAACAGTGTTATAATTCAAACAATCCATGTCCCTAACACAGCGGCTGAATGTGCTATAGTATCTGGAAATACGATATGGGCACACTTAAGTTTTGAGGATTTAGGTACCTGCACATCCCAGTAGCATCTAATCGAAACATCCGGAATGGATCTTCGTTTGCTTTTGGCAGACTCGTTACATTCAACAAATTGTGATTGAACATTTCTAAATAACACTTATCTATAGACTTCACTTGATCACTGCTACAATTCCGAAGAACTCCAGAATTTCCAGGAGGAGTTTTCTTGACAAGACCTTCTAGATCAGCGTCGTAGGATTCAGATGAATCGATTAGGATGACAGCACAAATGAATACTAAAAGCAAGTAATGCATTCACTTTTCGCATAATTTGCTGGAGTTTTTCGAACTTATAAGCTCCAAGAAAACTGTGTCAAAAAATAGAAACTCCGTCACCGGTCTTCAGAAAGTTTAATGTTCTTAAAGTTTTGAATTTGTGTGATATCATGATTTCCGGACCGGTACATTTACAGAGAGTGAAGGCTGGAGAAAGAGAAAGTAAACATGAAATGCGGCAAGGTTCAAAGAGTTTCAGTTTTGAAATGTTCTTTGTATTTTTCTCTATTCTGATTTCTGATTTTGTCATTTTTTTTCTGCAAATAAAGTGTCGTTTACTAAATTCCAAAAAATCTGAAAATTCATAAAATTCGGAAAAAATCGACAACTTTTCTAATAGTAAGCTTGAATATTTTCAACGACGGGAAAACTGGATTTTGGGTGAATTTTCGGGCCGACAGCCCAAAATTGAAAATGCCGAAAATGGGGTAATATTCTCTCGGTGTAATCCCAAAACTCTTCAAGTTTCAATTCGTCGATCATGAGAACCCAACATTGACGTTCACACAAAAACATTCGAGAAAGACTACTATAGATGCTAAAAAAATTCTTCGAGAGAGAAATAAGTGTCATGATACGTAATATCATCATCTTTTGGTTTTTCTTTTTGGGGTCTGAAATAAATATGCTGAATTCTTTGAAAAAAAATGGTTGCCTAGAAACCCAAATATCATTTTTCTAAGTCATGGCTTTAAAACCAGCGTAACTCGCTTCACAATTAACTTTCTCAAGTTCTAATTGTAAATCTTGTTCCAGATAGTGGTGGACTAGGCTGGCTTGAGGTCTCAATTTCTGTAAAAAAAGACTCACCTGTCGAGAGGTCTCTCGTATAATTGAACCATCTGAGCTACTCGTTTTCCTTCAATATTTTTGTTTGTTTTTTCAATTTTTTTCAAAATTAACGAAAGAAGAACCACTTGAAGTTGAAAAACAGATTTGTGGTTGGACATTTCCTAGTCGAAAACTCACTCCACGAACTTTGTATTTTAGTTGTCGAAACCAAAATTCCATTTTCAAATTGCTTATTGAAAGTTTGTATCTGAATTTAAGAATGCTTTCCATATTAAAAAAAAAAAAAGATTTTGACCATTATTACTTCAAACCAATGGTCCAAGTACAAAAAAAAAAACAAAAACTAACATTTCAATGGGTGTCATCATGCTGCTAACTTCTCGAAGCACGACATGCGGCACTTTCCGTATTGGAAATTTTTTCATTTTTCTGAAAAATGGGTCTTAAAGAAAGACTTTAAAAATACGAAATTCTTGTTGATTTCCTACTCAACATCGACCGGTGGACCCTTCCTATTCAAATTGCGCGCGTACCGTATCCACCGGACCGTCATACGGAGTGTCGTTTCTCGGCTGTTGCCCACAACTTTTGGGCTGGATTAAAGCGGCTTCTAAGCTGCGTCATGGCGGATGTCGCTTTAGTTTTCTGTAGAAGCCGCCCAGCGACCGCCCAAAAGACGCCAAACCTACGCGCAAGTTACGCGTCGCTCACACGAAATCGGACCGTAGGCTCTAAAAAAATCTGAAAATTCTGTCCAAATCAATTTGGTAAATAGGATTTATTTTTAAAAAACCCAATAGCGGACAGAAGAAAAAAAATAATGAAGCGAACAACAAAAAAGAAAAAACAATGATTGTGTGTTAGATGAAAGTTGAATCATGATGTGAAGTCGTCACTTGTAGTCTTCACTAGGCAGTAGTAGTCACTTTGGTGCTCTGAAAAAAATTTAAAAGTAATTGTATTGATTATATTGTTGCTTACAATCCAATGAGAACTGCCGGCTCAAAGTCGTCTGGATTTTTGTTTTCAGCACGACACTTTTCTCTGAATATTTTGACGTCTTTCCATGATAGATGGTTTTCACAGGTTTTTCGGTTCTGAAGTTGAAGTCATTTTATAAGCAAAGCAGCAGTCAAAACAAACCTTACAACTCTCCAGTGAACCGGTACGAATATCAAGATGATAATCTCGAATGTAGTTCCTAAAAACAAAGTTCGTATGGATTTGGTTAATATATTAAACTGACAGTATGTGACCAATCGCTGATTGCATAGTCTGTGAGACAATTCACGCTCGGATTGACGCGATGAAACATACAGTATCTGATAAACCTGAAATTAGTTCTGTCAAATTGTTTAGGAAAACAGGAAGTCACCTGAAATTTTCTTCGCTTTCGAAGAATTTCCATCTGATTTAGTTGTTTTTTGGCTTCCTAGAAAATATAGACGATTACATTTTTTTAATTTTTTCAAAACCTCTGTCATTCTCGTCTTCCGATTCATCACTCCATAATGCCCAATTGTCACTTGCATTATTTTCTTGTTCGAAATCTTTTTGAGCGTAGTTCTGATGATGTTCAGATGAATTACAATCTGCAAGTTTCACATTTTTTGAATTACATTACTATGTTTTTACCTTTTTGTGTACTTTGGATTCCAGGATCAATTTTTTGCTGTCCGAATGCGTGTTGCCAACTTCCTTCTAGAAATCATCCTAAATACGTTTACAAAAATCTTTATCTTACGAAGTTGCCTCCTCGACCTGGAATTCGCCACTCTGACAAATCCATTCATCTTTTTTCAGATGTCCTGACTTTAATTTCCAAATCCTGCCTTCAAAACCAATTTCTAAACATTCTATATTCGCAATCGAGTTTTTGATACTATTACCTAAAAACTTTTTTATTTTTAGAACAGAAAAGACAAAGAAAATGAGATAAATTACAGTGAAATAGGAAAAAACGGATAAAATATTTTATTTCGAAAAGAAATTCTGATGCACGCAACGCGAGGCATGCGTCGCCTTTAAAATTCGCCCAAACATCGCCCAAGATTCGCCAAGGTGGTGGTGGTCGGCGCAGTTGCCACAGGTCTAGGAGCTTCCGGTTAAAAGCCGCCCAAATAACGCTCTAAAGCCGCCGCCACCCTTCTTTTCGCCCTAAAGTTGCAGGCCACAACCGAGTTAGAATCCCTTTCGTGTGCTCCTGGGAAAATAACAGACCGCTGTTAGGATCTGAAAAAAAACAAAATCCTTGAAATTCCGATAAAAAATTCAGTTATCAGTAAAAAATTTTAACAACTTTTACAACTTTTACAATCATTCAAAGAAGATTGTTTGTACGAATATAACGATAATAGAAAAAAGAATGTAAAGAGAAAATTCGGCAATTGAAGAACCGATTTCCAGGATTGAGATATGCTGAAAAAAGAAACAAAAGCAAATGGGCCATCGGAAAGCTTTGAACTATTGGAAACCCAAAAACATTTTTTCTTTAAAAAATTGTTTTATTGTGCAAAAATTGTTTTAAATAAAGTCATGTATTAACATTTTCTCTCGTTTTTCCCATATTTTTTACCAATTTTTCATCAGTTTTTCTCAAATTTTCACCTGATTTTAGCTTCAAATTTGATATAAAATTAAAATTGTCGTATGAAAAACTCGAGTTAACTCGGAGCAGCCGTTCGTGTCCATTTAGGAGGCGACAAGGCAAAAACTTAAAAATAGCAAATTGGGCTTAAAAAGAGAACAAAAATTCAAAATTTTTATGAAAAACAGATTCTAGAAAGCGATCTCGGTTTTACCAAAAACTCTGAATTTTCTTCAGGGAATCTCACTATTTCGAAGAAAACCGATTTGTGGGCGGAGCTTCTAGGTGCCAGCTTCAACGAAAAAACCCGTCAATTACACAATTTCGTGGCGTTTTTTCACTTATTTTTAAGCCAACAATTTGGAATTTGCTATTATGAGTGGTAAATATAACCTAAAATAATTTTCTTTGACTTTTACTTTAGAGACGGCTTCAATTACTGAAAATTCCACCGCCGCAGAATCTGAATTTACTTCGAAAAACGAGAAACTTTTGAAGGCGTTGATCGAGAAAAAGAAGGAAAAGCTAAAGAAGAAGACATTATTCCAAAATGCCGACGAGAAAGCTGTCGACTCCATTGTTCAGAAGACGTTCGAATCGGTGATTGGAACTACTCAATATTCTCCATTGAAGACGTCAGACTGGATGAGCAAAATGATTCAAAAAATCTCCAAAGCGTTGACGAAAGGAGATGAGACTCGAAAGTTGCTCATCCATTGTACGATTTGCTCTAGAACTGATGAGCTCTCCATTTGCTCCGCGAATATGTGCTCCTGGGATACATCAAAGGACGTGGCAGTGTACTCCGAGTGGACTTCAAAGACAGTCTTCGGCGCCGTTCAGGTCTTCTTCATCACTCATCGCTACTCAAAGTGAACTTGACTATCTTCAAATAAAGCAAAAAAATCACAATTTTACAAAAGATACAGTATAGGTAGAATATATAATAAATACACGAAAGTTGGGCGGTAATAAGGCAATCTGAATATTATATAAAGCACATAAGAGAATCAAAGGCAAAGTGTGTCATGTCCGTAAATTTGCTACTACTGACGATATCGTCGATGGTCTACGATTGGATCGGAGATGCTGCTAGAACCATAGTACTGGACAGAGGAGTCGGGGGTGGGCCTCCAATTCCACCGCTGCCTGGAATGTTGAACTGGGTCAATTGGAGCGGACTTTCTGATTTTTTAATTTCTTACCGTTCGTCAAACTAGAAGACGTCACTTGCGATGACGCTGGCACCATCATCTGTCGGGAGTTCTTCGCTCCATAGTAATTTCCAGCGGGATTCATACCGATCTGACTCTCTCCAACCATTGACGCATAGTCGTTAGTCATTGGACTCTCGCAGTCTCTTCTTCTTCTCAGCCAAGTTTGATCGTGTGCCACAGGACTTAGTGTAGTCGTTTCCAGGCGATGAGGAGGAATGGTTCTTCCCATTCGATTCGCAAGAGCATGCGGCGCCGGAGATCCAACATATGTTACTTCTGTGGTAGCTTCTACTCTCGTCGTCGTGGTTCCACTGGTTCCAGAATTGTCAGCCGAGGTTCGATCTGTTGGTAGAATCCCATCTCCAAAGACATAATAGCACTTCTCCGTGAATGTTAGTTTACTGACGACATGTCGAATAAGACCAGCAGCTAGAAGACGTGCGGCATACAGTTTCGCTCGTTTTCTGTTATGGATATCTGTCATGTGGTCCACTAGCCAATCAATCAGGTCCTGACCTATGAAGGACATTGGTACTGAAATTTTCAGCCATTTTCGATTTTTGATAACTAGGCCTGAGTCCGGGCGAGCCATGGCACGAACTACAATTATGGGATCTATCAATTCCGTTAGCTGCTCCGCCTTTTCATTCCTCTCATTCTCCTTTTTCCTTTCCGCCTCTTCCAATAACGCCCTAGGTATTCCATTCCTTCGTTGATCGTAAAGAATTCGTTCTTCATCATCAGAAGCTGTTGAAGTAAAAGGCATCGTGCCGTCGTCCACAGATGTCATAGTTTGCTCCTGTGGATCTATTCCAAGCGCCTTCATTTTCTCTGTTGCTTGCCTAAAAATTCCAAACCGTTTTTGAAATTAAAAACCCTTCGAACTCACACAGCAGTCTCCACCCAAACTCCAACATCCAGGGGCATCGTCTCCGAAGCCATCGAAGCTAACGGGTCGTCGTATTCACTTGGAGCCGCCCTTCGGTACTTGCTAATGTAGAGAGTAATGGGCCTCTTCGAACCAGCAGCTTCTCTAAGAGCCCTTACAGCTTGTGGACCGGTTAGATCTTCGAAGGACACTCGATTTACTTGTAGAATCTGGTCTCCTACGTTCACTCGTCCGTCCTTTTCAACTGCACCTTCTGGAGCGATTTCTGATACAAAAATGTGGCCATCCATGGTGCAGACACTTAAGCCAAGGTATGGAACATTTTTCATCGATAAATAAATCTCCAGAATCCTCGGAAGCCCACTGTTTACACTTGATTCGGTGGCAGAACTGATTGTGCTTGGTACATAGGGCCTTCTGAATCTATCTTTCTTCTGTTTCTTCTTCCTCCGATCGTCATCATGATATCTATTCATATCTCTCGCTGTCAATGGCTCATACATCGATGAGTCGTCGGTGGTCCGGCGAGTGGATTCGTCGTATTGGTAGGGATCTTCAGAATTAGAAGTGTACATTTCAGCGAGGTGTTCTCCGGCTCTCCCTTTAAAAACATTGATTTTTCTAGTAACTTAAAAGAGGTTACTTACTGCTAACAATGGTACTTGGTGCTAGACTGGCATCAGAATAGGGTGTAGCATCGAAATCTGCACTTCGTCGACGCCTCTTATCAATTGCAGCTCTTTGCGGTCTTGTCATCGTCCCGGTATTCCTTGGTAAAGTGCCATATCCGGGAGTGCTAACAAGGAAAACCTCGTAAAATCCATTTTGCGACCTTCGCAGGCGATCCGTATCGGAAATTAGTTCAACTTTTACTTCTCTGAAAATATTATCTTGTTTTCTTCACTTTCTAAAGAAAAATCTTACCGTTGAATATCCGGGTCTAACTCTTTCGCATAATACTTGTAGCCTCTCTTGGTGAACGAATTTTTAAAATTTCCGAGTGTCGCGACACCTTCCCGAGCATCAATCACGGACACATACGGTGTTGTTTCGTCGTCAAGATAGTAAAATACCTGAAAACCATCTTGCTTACTCTTTTTCCTTATCAAAAATGACTCACTTTTATTTGATTGGAGTCCGAACTGCATGGTGGCTCCATATAGGTTAGTAGGGGTCTGGAAAAATCGATATTTTGTTTAGAAAAGCGACATATATGAAGGCAAACAAGGTAAACACATGAAAAACGCAATTATCTGCGGGAAGGACATAAAAACATTAAATTTTTAATTTATCGGCCATTAAATCGGAGGTCCGCCGACGGAAATGCAAACGCGCTCCATTAGACTTCAATCGGTCTCACCACGATTTGCCGTTTTCGATGTAATTTTTACGGTTTTCGTTGAGAATCTTCTACACTAATTTTCAACTTCAATTTGAAATTTCACCGCTTTTTCAGTTTCTGGAAAAGTTTCTGTAAAACATTTTGTGTCTTATTTCGCATAAAAATGATATTGTTAGCTGGGAACCTTGAAATCCCTGTCTTTTTTATTCAAAAATAGTGTTTTCTGACAATTTTCAAAGTTCTAAATTTTGATTTTTGAGGTAATGGCATCTGCTGGAGAATCAATTTTGGCTCTTACCGGAAAGAGAACGACCGGTCAAAGCATCAGATCTCAAAATGGTAACCGAATGAATCTCCTGTGTTGAAAATCGCATTATTTTACAGTTACCGCCGCTGTTGCTATCGCCAACATCGTAAAGTCATCCCTCGGACCAGTCGGTCTTGACAAGATGCTTGTCGATGACGTCGGAGACGTTATTGTTACTAACGATGGTGCTACTATTCTCAAGCAACTCGAGGTTGAACATCCAGCCGGAAAGGTTCTCGTCGAGCTCGCTCAACTTCAAGACGAAGAAGTCGGAGATGGAACCACCTCTGTTGTCATTGTGGCAGCCGAACTTTTGAAAAGAGCTGATGAGCTTGTTAAGCAGAAGGTCCACCCAACAACCATCATCAACGGATACCGATTGGCGTGCAAGGAAGCTGTCAAATACATCAGTGAGAACATCTCCTTCACTTCTGACTCCATTGGAAGACAATCTATTGTCAACGCCGCCAAGACTTCCATGAGCAGTAAGATTATTGGACCGTAAGTAGTTCCGTTCTTGGAATTGAAACAACCATTAAATTGCAGAGATGCTGATTTCTTCGGAGAGCTTGTCGTCGAGGCTGCTGAAGCCGTCAAAGTTGAGAACAACGGAAAGGTCACCTACCCAATCAACGCTGTTAACGTTCTCAAAGCTCACGGAAAGAGTGCTCGCGAATCTGTTCTTGTTAAGGGATACGCTTTGAACTGCACTGTTGCCAGTCAAGCCATGCCGCTTCGCGTTCAGAATGCCAAGATTGCTTGCCTCGATTTCTCTCTTCAAAAGGCCAAGATGCACCTCGGTATCTCAGTTGTTGTTGAAGACCCAGCTAAGCTTGAGGCTATTCGTAGAGAGTGAGATCTTGTGGGACCGGAATTTTTGAAATGAATATAATTTTCCAGGGAATTCGATATCACGAAGAGACGTATTGAGAAGATCCTGAAGGCTGGAGCCACCGTTGTTCTCACCACCGGAGGAATCGACGATCTTTGCTTGAAACAATTCGTCGAAGCTGGAGCAATGGCTGTTCGTCGTTGCAAGAAATCCGATTTGAAGAGAATCGCCAAGGCCACCGGAGCCACTTTGACCGTCTCATTGGCCACCTTGGAAGGAGACGAGGCTTTCGATGCCTCTCTCCTCGGACACGCCGACGAGGTCGTCCAGGAGAGAATCAGTGACGACGAGCTCATTCTCATCAAGGGACCAAAATCTCGCACCGCCAGCAGCATTATCCTTCGTGGAGCCAACGATGTGATGCTCGACGAGATGGAACGATCGGTTCACGATTCTCTTTGCGTTGTTCGTCGAGTTTTGGAGAGTAAGAAGCTGGTCGCTGGAGGAGGTGCTGTTGAGACTTCCCTCAGTCTTTTCCTGGAGACCTTCGCCCAAACTTTGTCATCTCGTGAACAACTTGCTGTCGCTGAATTCGCTTCTGCTCTTCTCGTCATCCCGAAGGTTCTCGCCAGCAACGCCGCCAGAGATTCCACTGATTTGGTTACTAAGCTTCGCGCTTATCACTCAAAGGCTCAACTCATTCCACAACTTCAACATCTCAAATGGTAACAAAATTGTAATTTGACAATAACAATTCCTTTCTGTTCTAGGGCCGGTTTGGATCTCGAGGCAGGAAACATCCGCGATAACAAGGAAGCCGGAATCCTCGAGCCAGCTCTCAGCAAGGTCAAATCCCTGAAGTTCGCTACGGAAGCCGCCATCACGATATTGCGTATTGACGACCTCATCAAGCTCGACAAGCAAGAGCCAGCCGGAGGACATGATGATTGCCACGCCTAATTTGTTTCTGTTTTCACACCCAAATATACTTTTTCTCCGCGTGCTTCTCACATAATACCGATCTGCTGTTTTCCGTTTTCCAGAAATTCTCATTTTTCAGCTTTTGTTTGTTTTCTATGTTCTTCCCCTTTGCGCCCATCCCCATATTCAGCCCCATTATTTGACAATACTTTATTGAACGAAATGTTGTAAGTTTTAATGTTTTCGATTTCAAAATTGTTTGTATTGATTCTTTTTTTTTCTTTGATTATCCCTCATGAAGAAGCTTTGCCACCTCTTCTCACTCGTCGTCCCCTCCCAGCGAGTGGAAGTCGCGATTCTTCTGATCGCTTCCACGTCGACGAAGGTTCAACGGTGGCAAGCGGATTCCATTGACCGTTGTCGGTGTGGCACTGCTCAATGGTTGAGCCTTGGATCCCCAACGGAACATTCCTGAGGGCCCCTCAGAAGTCGTCGGAGAGTCGTTGGAGCTCGAGTGTTGTGGAAGGCGAATGTTGTCTTCCTAAAAAGTTATGTAGGTGCAATATTTAAATTTTAAGATGGGTGGTTACCTCCGTATTCGATGACGGCTGATAATTGAGTGGCTTGCTGGAAACCGATGAAGAGCGAACTGATGGAGAAGCAACTCGGTCGGTTTGAACGACCGAGAGACTTTTAGTGTGAAGTGGTGGCTGAAATGATCAAAAATTTGAATTTCCTAAGGAAAAAGGAACTACCTTCTTTCCAAAAATATTTCGAATTCGCTCGCCGACACTTGACAACACTCCATGATCCGCTGGTGGAGATGTCATTTGAGGAGTCGACGGCTCCGAAGAATCAATGGAGCCCGACTCCACGGAGAACGTTCTCTGGGACATGAGCCGCGAGTGAGCCGACGACGATCGTTTGACCATTTTGAGATATTCTCTTCCGGCTGACGCGGCGGCGGTGCTTTTCGCCAAACTGTTGGAGAGTTTCTCGCGGTTTAGCTTCTGCTTGTTGGCGCCAGCGTGACCAGAAGCCGTAGAGGATTGACGGACGAGCTGGAAACAGAAAAAAATCGAAAAAAGTAGCGAAAGAGAAAGAAAAAACTAGTAATAGCTCTTCTGATTATGTTTTTTGTCTCTTCAACTCCACCCCTACATCACATGGGATTCTGAATACAAAACAATTTGCCTCTTCAGAGAACGACGTCATGTTACAAAAACAGGAAATTAAAATATTGTTTTCGAAGAAGCATCATCGCCGGCTACTTCTATGCATTTTACCTCCTATGTGTTGTTCCGCGTGATAGCTCAGTGGTAAAGCTCCCGTTTTGAAAACACACCACCCGAGTTCAACTCCTCTCGCGATTTTTAATGCTTTTTACATTTTTGAAAACTTTTTCTCTATTTTTCCACTCACCTCTTTCACATAATTATCATCAAACTGCTCGGCATTCTTCGACGAGAGCAGAGTGAATGTGACGTCTTCTTCGTTGGTGGGCATCGTGTCAAACTTCTTTTCAGTTTCCGACCGGGGCTGTAATTTTTTGTTGTTGTTACGAATATATATTTGAAAGAAGAAGTTTTATATATCAGGTGATTAGTTTTTCGAAAACAAGAAGAAAATATAACCAACTCGATGCTTCGCGTACTCCCTGGCGACTTTGGTGATTAGCATTGCACACGTCTCGCTGCCTGCTCGAATCGCCATATCCACACAGTTGAGGCGCTCTTTGTTACGCATGTCAATTACCTGAAAAAGTGCAAGAATCAGAAGATGAAATTTTGATAATGCGGTTTTTGGAGATACCGTAACCCTTCATAGACTCCAATAAAATGTCCCTCAACTTTGAGCCAATATATTTCGGTTCCTGTGAAAGATATCATATTGGTCAACTAACAAAATGTTTCTGATAATTTAATGAGAATTTTGTCGGTTAACCACTTTTTGATGTCTTTCACAGGAACCGATATAGATTGGGTCAAAAATAATAGGTCAGAAGCCGACCGAGTAACGCGGCCGACATGTCCACTTTGAACCTATAAATCTCAATTCCTGTAAGAGATATCAAAAGACTATATATTGAAAAAATATTACTGATATTATGAGAAACATTTTATCAGTTGACAATATTTTTTCATTTCTTTCAGCGGAAATGGAATATCTGGGCTCAAAGTTGACGGTCTTTATGGGGCATTCTGTATGAGAGTGTTTACGGTCACACTCTTTGAGCTTAATTATCTCATCTTCTGTGAGAGATATCAAAAAGTGGCCAACTTACAAAATATCTTTGATATTGTGATAAATGTTTTATTAGTTGACCATTTTTTGATATCTAACATGTAATTTTCTACCCTTTATCAACATTTTCAGTTTCTTGAAAACAAACTTTCAATGCATCATTCATCGTCATCAAAAAACTTATGCTTCAAAACTTCTAAAATTTTCAGAATTCAAGAAACAAGCGTTCTAATTAGAGGTATTTTCTGAATGATCTTCTGGTTGTTGATCATACATAATGACAGAACAAATGACGTTATTTTTTAGTTTGAACAATTTTTGAAATTCTGAGAATTTAAAATTCTGAAATTATAGTTCTAATATTCTAAGATTCTAAGATTGTAAGATTCAGAGATTCTAAGATTCTGGGATTCTAATTTCTATTTTGAGACCATTTTCAGCGTTCATATTGTGTAAGAATGTCTGTAAAACCCCCAAAACCAAATTTGGTGGATTACTGTAGTGTGAAAAGTACGAAACCTAGTTTTCAATTTCCAGACTGATCATTCAAGTTTCAGCTCATTTTCGATGTAAAAAACTCATCAAATTGTTTCTGAAAAGTTTCAGAATTAAAAAGGTCTTACCTGCCATAACTTTCCACTATTGATAGCCATGATAAGAATTCCCTTGACTTGCTGAACACGATTCTCAGCTGATGCTAACATCAGTGCCGAATTTCCATGCTCATCTTGCCATAGGATATCCATGAAAGCCTGGAAATTAGAAAAAAAATGCATTATAATAGCTTCAAATTAGCATATTTTGTAGTCTGTATTATTTTTCACACAAAAAGCTTTCTATGAAACATTACCATAAATTCAAATAGAAGGCCACCTAGACAGCCAACTTTGAACTCAATTATCTCGGTTCCTATGAGAGATATCAAAAATTTGTCAACCGACAAATTGTTGCTTGATATTATGATAAATAATTTATCAGTTGACACATTTTTGATATCTCTCATAGAATCCGAGATAATTGAGTTCAAAGTCCGAATGCACATGTTTCTTTGGCGCCACCGTATACCCACACTTTGAGCCCAATTATCTCGGTTTCAGTAAAATATATGAAAAAGTTGTCAACTAAAAAAATATTTCTGATATTATGACAAACATTTTATCAGTTGACACATTTTTCATATCTTTCACAGAACCCGGCCAAAATGGTCATTTCTCATTTTTCTCGATTTAGGAAAAAAAAATCACATTCTTCGAGCTAAAATCCTAATTTGTTTACTTTTTCAGCCATCACAAGACATGAAAAATGACGTTGACAACTTCTAAAGTTCTCTAAAACTTTAGGAACTATCAATTATTCATAAACCCGACTATTATAGAAACTTACAAGCAAATGTACCTCTCAAAAGTTTTCATATTTTTCTAGCTACAGTACCCTACCGTAGTACAAAGAGAAGGGTCATCAAACGGATCGTCCAAGTTGAAATCGACTCCAGCGTTCTTGATCTCCTCCCCAATTCGAGTGATCATCTCATTGTGGTCCATCTTTTCTGGAATTTTCTTTTTTTTAAACGAAGATTTAAAAAAGAAGGTTTTCAGTTGACAACAGAGCCATCAGAACTGGTTAGTAGGCGTTGCCATGGAAACACGTTGGAAAAAAACGGAAACGAAAAAAAAAGAGATATGGAAAAATAGCGGAAAACGAGTGTCTCTTTTCTCTCTCTCTCTCTTGACTTGATTTAGTTAGGAAAACAAGATATGAAAAAAAGAGAAAAAAGTGACTAATTGGATTTTCAGAAACTTGTGGAGAGGGTGGAGCTCAATTTTGATACTTCGAATTTCTAGTTTTAAAGGTGGGGGGACAGGAGATTTTTTGGAGTTTTTTTGGAGGGTATGCATTCTACCGTGACGGTGTACAACGCTTAATTTCACTCTGTGTACAGCGGTCGTCCTCACCCTTATGTTTACTCTCGGGCGCGCGCTCCTCCTTTGCCCGCGTGGCTCAGTCGGCAACGGCGCCGCACCCTCAATACTCACCTCCACAAGTTCAACTCCTCAGGGGGCGTATATGAACGGAGTTTCGAGAACATTATTTTTTCATGTCCCCCCCCACCTTTAATGAAAATGGAAAAATTTTTAGAAAAAAATGGAGAAGTAATAGAGTCGGATTTCAATAATTGAGGGATTTCCTGAAATTGAGTCTGAAAAAAAATGAAAAAATAAAAATAAAAATTCTGATTAATATTTTTTCAAGGGTTTTGAGCAGAGAACAAAAGATGAGCATTCGATATACTGGTTGCCGTAAAACCTGTAATAGAAGGGTCCTCTAACTTCCAACTTTGAGCCCATATGTCTCGATTCCTGTGGAAGATATCAAAAAGTGGACAACTGATAAATTGTTCATCTTAATATTACCAATATTTTATTAGTTATCACATTTTTGTTATCCTTCACAGGAATCGAGATAAATTGTTTTAAAGTTGACAGTGTGGGGACTTTTTATTACAGGTTTTACGGTAATTGAAAATTGAAATCTTAATGCTAATGCTTTGAAATCTGAGGATGTCCAGAGATTCAGACACTTGAAAGATCTCAAATTGTATATTTATGCGAAAAAGTTTTTTTTTTCATTTTAGAATACGTAACTGAGATTTGAAGTGTCCTAGTTCATTTTAAATGTTCCAGGCTATTTTTGAAGAATTTTAAATTCCAGATTTTTTTTCTAGAAGTTGACCTTCAACCGCTAAATCAAAAAAATCCGGACAAATATTTTTTGGGTTTTTAATACAATTGACATTAAAAAAATGCTTTTGGCAGGACTAAAAACAATAATAATCACAGAAAAAATAATTTTCCTGACTTTTGGGCTTCGGTTTATGACAGATAAAAAAAACAAAAAATAGGAAGAGGACAAGAAAGGAGGAAGGAAACGTGACAATTGGATGGGTGGTAGAGAATTTATCAAAATTGAAGCACAGGAAAAAATGGCATGGATCTTGAAAGAAAAGCTACAGAATTGGGCTAGTTTTCAATATATACCGTAAAACCTCTAATAGAAGAGCTCTTTAACTTTTAACTTTGAGTTCTATTATCTCGATACCTGTAGAACCTATCAAAAAGGTGTAAACTGATAAATTGTTTATCATAATATCTAATATTTTATCAGTTGACAGGTTTTTGATATCTCTTACAAGTAATGTTAGATTGGCTCAAAGTGAACATGTCGGCCGCTATACATAGTGTTGTACTTGATGCTAGGGTTACCTGAATAAACGACTAATATTAGAGTCAGGTGAGAAAAAAAAAAGAAAAAAAAAGAAAAGAGAAAGATGAAAAAAAACTAGTTCAGATAACATAGGAGAGTTAAGGATGTGAAAGATATGCACAAGGAGAAAAAAGGGAAAAGCTTCCAGAATAGCAAAAAATTTTAGGAACATTTCTGAGCAACAAGCGGAAGATTGAAAAGCAGTATTGTTTTTAATTGGTTCTTCGGAGTTTTCTGTTTGAAAGGACCTGGAATTTCGAAAACTTGACGATTTTCTTGAAATAAAACTAGTTTTTGAACCTGATATTAAAGATTTATAGCTTATTTGGTACCAGAAAATTAGAAAAAAAACAAATCCATCAAGAAAAGCATCAACACATTTAAAGCCTAAAATTAGAAAATTCCAGAAAGACTTTTCCAGAACTTTCCAAATTCTGCAAAAAGTCACATGCCCTTTCGCTTATCCAAAAACCAAAACTCAACCTTTCAAAAAAAAGTTATCCTAATCTGATTTTTAAGACATTTTGATTCAATTTTCAGCCTCTCCTCCACCCCCAACTCTTGCTGAAAGTCACAGAATAAAAACACCTGTTTAATTTTTTTTTTCGTGTCCCAAAATTGTGATTTTTTTAGCTCAAGAACATCAAAAGAAAGGGATCAGGTGAAAAAATAGAAAAAGGGATGAAAATACGGAAAGTATTTTGAAAAAAAATTATGTAGTTTCCCAGAATGGAAGTGGGCGGAGAGCCTGAAAATGAAATGATTTTAGAATTTTTGATAAAGAAAAAAAGTGATAAGGATAATGTTAAGAATCAAAAGATGGAGGAAGAATATGCAAGATCTGAAAAAAAGGCCACTAATCTTATAAAAATGAGGTCTGATTCATAAAGAAGACAAACTATGAAAACCAGAAAGATTAACAATTTCAATGAAAAAAGAAAATTGCAAAAAAAAGGAATTTCCCGAAAATTGTCTCCGACCAAAGTGCACAGAGGTTATAGATCAGGATCACTTGTTATCGGAAATTTAATTTATTTTTATTTCCGAACCCAAAAAGTTCATTTCCGAATTAAAGGAAAGTTATAATTCTCTTGTTGGCTTTTGTAGAATTTCCAGATGAAAAATCCATCAAGTCCAATTGCAGAAAGTGTTAGGAGGGCTGGAAAAAAGAAGTTGAAAATTGCTTACCGTAAAACCTCAACTTTGAGCTCAATTTTCTTGGCTCCTATCAGAGATATCTAAAATGTGTTAACTGATAAAATGTTGGTGATATTATGATAAACAATTTATCAGTTGACAACTTTTTCATATCTTTGACAGGAACCGAAATATTTCGCATCAAAGTTACATACCAAAACCAGCTCCTACGCCCAACAACTGCATTGGAACTCCAGCCAAAAGAATTTTAGTTGGCGGCTCACAAGAATTCTCATAGACACTCTGACGAGCGTCTTCACTACGTCGGGCTTTTCTCTAAATTTCAAAAAATACGAAAAACAAAATCTAGACTCCCTACCAAACGATGCTCCACCACCACCAGCTCGTCAATAATCACATTTTTGCTTGATGGTTCGATGGAAACCCTAAAATGGTGAAGAATCGGGGGATTGAAAAGAGGGAAGACTTTTGAAAATGGAAACCTTTCAAACGCGAGATGCTCACATTCCAGAGTTCTATCCGAGCAACACGACCAGGGGAGAGTGAAGAGGCGTCTGGAACATTGGATAAAAGGGAAATTTCAAAATTAGTCTCCGATACGAAATTTTTGTTCTTAAATTTTTTCTACTTTCACAATAAAATGGCAAAATTGAAAAATTTTTAACTTTTATAATCACCTCATCAGGAAATTTTTTCTGAAGTTTTCAGTGAAAACAAATGCAAGTTGTTCAAATTTTTGCAATATTATTAAAAAATAGCATAGAAAACCAAAAATGATTTGAAAATCCAAAAATTAACTAGAAATTTAAAAATGGTCTAGAAATCCAAATTAGCCAAAACGTGAAAATTAGGTCATGACCTATAAAATTCGAAAATCTCTGTCATGACCTAGAAACCTCAATGAACTAGGTCATGGCCTAAAATTTCCTAAAATCTTGGTGATGACCTAAAAATCCAAAACTGTAGGTCGTGACCTAAAAAGTTCAAAAATCCAAAAAAAAAGAGATTATGACCTTGAACTCCTGAAAAACTGCAGATTTTTTGAGATTTTCAAACTTTCAAGTTTCGTACAAAATTTGTAAAAAGTATTTCCAAGGTCGATTTCCATTTTTGGAAAACAGTTTTGAAAAGTTTACCAATGTTTGGAATCTTGAAAAAATAATTTTTTGTAATTTTCAAGATTTTTCCAGGTGATTTATCTTTGACCTGATTGCATTCAATAATCCCAAACTTCAAAAACTACAGTAATTCGAGAAAGTATGGGCGGAGCCTGGGGCGTGTGTGGGGCTCATTTTGAAGCGTAGGGCGAGATCCCGAAAATTCAAACATTTGAAAGATTCCAAAAATTCCAAAAAATCCAAAAATTCAAAAAAATCGTATGATTCGAAATCTCAAACCCAGATTTCTCACCGTGTCTCATCAATGTAATCCTCATCCAGCATCGTGTAGTAATACCAAGACGCCCATGGATTTCCTAGAGAAATTGAAGTTTGATTCCAGGAAATATCACTGGAAAGAGGGACACCACAACATTTGGTGGCTTGCTGATACTTGTGAAGCGTCTAAAACATTGAAATTTGGGTTCCTAAGCCATGACGAAGAATCTCAAAACCTTCATTCCTTTCTCTGATTTACTTTCCAGTACACTCAAAAACTCTTTCTGGAAATTTTCATCTGTGGGATTGGAAATCGAGTTGTAAACTCCAAAAGTGACCCCAAGAACCAATAATAGACCGAGGAAATTGATTGAATTGGAAATTATCATCGTTTTGAGAGATTCTGAAAATTACGGCCATATTTCTGGAAATCAGATGAAGTTTCTAACTTTGTCTAGTCATCACTGAAGTCAAAATTCCTAGCAAAACTGAAAATCCGCAGACGAAGGGAAGAGATGAAGTCATGAAATTTGTAAGGGATCCAAGAAGCAATCTGGAATCTTGAAAATTAGGCCTTGGCCTAGAAATCCAAAAATTAGGCCTTGGCCTAAAAATCCAATTTAGGCCATGACCTGGATTTAGAAATATGTGTGGCAAGTTTAGAAATGCAAAGTTCAAAACCCACCGATTCCGAAAAACCGGATGAAGAACTGCACAAAACGCCAAGGTACTCAGAATTTGAAGAAAGATAATAGCATTTTTTAAGTGACGATGGATTTTCAAATATTCTGAACTTATATCTGAAATTTTAAATTGCGTAAATTGGGTTCGTAAATCACAAAATCTGACTTTGATTAGACATTTTTTACCATAGAAAGTTTAGGATGTTGAGTGAAAAGATTGAATAAAATTCAGACCCAATTTGCCAGCAGATTTAAAACGTATTTTTATCGGGATTAGAAACCACGTCTCGAAGAAAATCCGGGTTATCTCTTGGGTTCAAGCCAATGGGTCAGAAATCGCGCCCCAGTAAACGTGAAATTTTAGAAAAAATTCGCTGCTGAATTATGTGGCTGAGAATCAAACTTTTAAACGTTGGACGAAAAAATTACGCGTTGAAACTTGTTGATTAAAACTAATTAGGTCAAATCCACGTCATCTTTGAAATTATTAAATTTCTTCTGACCTAAAAGTTATTTGGGGCGCGTTTTTTTAACCGTTGGCTTGAACCCAAGTGGGTTATCAAAGTCTAGTGGAGTTATCTGGAATTTTCTGATAGACCGAGTTTCTGAAAATCTGGGATACAAATAATTCGATTTTCTGGAAATCTGAAGTTTTGAGGTTTTGAGATTATGAGGTTTTGAGATTCTCTGAGATTCCGAGATTCTGAGATTCTGAGATTCTGAGATTCTGAGATTCTGAGATTCTGAGCTTCTGAGATTCTGAGCTTCTGAGATTCTGAGATTCTGAGATTCCGAGATTCTGAGATTCTGAGATTCTGAGATTCTGAGATTCTGAGATTCTGAGATTCTGAGATTCTGAGATTCTGTGATTCTGAGATTCTGAGATTCTGAGATTCTGAGATTCTGAGATTCTGAGATTCTGAGATTCTGAGATTCTGAGATTCTGAGATTCTGAGATTCTGAGATTCTGGGATCTTGAAATTCTGAAATTCTGGGATTCTGAGATTTTAAGGTTCTGAAATTCTGAGATTCTGAGATTTTGAAGTTCTGAGATTCTGAGATTCTAAGATTCTGAAATTCTGAGATTCTAAAATTCTAAGATTCTTAAATTTCGGAGTAATGAAACTTTCAATTCTGAAACTCCGGTACTGTGAAACTTTCTCGGAACCCAAGAATCTCGAAATTCAAAATTCCTATATTTAATTTTTAAAAATTCTAAAACCTAAAAGACAATTGTTTTTTAATATTGATATTCGGAAATTCCAAAATCCTCACAAGCTGAATTCCGTGGATCTTAGATTCCGAGGCTTTTTTCCAAGATTTCCAGATCCTGAAGTTCTGAAATCTTGAATGCTGGTTACTGTATTAAAAATTGGGTCCCTCAAATTCTAGTTTTGACATAAAAAGTACACAAAAAATCTTTCCGGTTGTCAGCATCATTCCCCCCCCCCTCCAAAAAAAGAAGACATCTGATCGCCTAAACGATCCCCCCTATTCGTAAAATTCGCTTTCTTGTCTCCATCCAATTGCTTCGGGATGATGATGATGGTTTATTTTATCCTGTTGAACACAAATGTCTCTCTTTTCATCTCCTCCTCTCCATTGTTAATTCGAAGACGGTTAAAAAAAGAGACAGAGAAAAAGTAAAAAGAAGAAGAAGACGTCAAATGTCTCTCTCCGGATGAACAAGAGACACACAAAGTGGGTTAAATAGGTCGTCAAGTTGACAACTGTTTGGCTTTTCCTCTCTTTTTACCTGTCGCACCTTTGTATATTTATTTTGGAATCGAGGAAGAAAAGAGAGGAAGGACATTAAATGAGATTTACTTTCTTGTTCGAATGACTATTCAACAAACCAACCACACCTTGAATTTCATTGGTTTCTCGTTTTTTGTCGGACATCCTGGATATGGGTATTCCTAGGGTCCTTAGATCTTTGATTCAACAGATCAGAAATTGCAAAGTACTGTAATTCTGAAGGCCCGAGGTCACATTTTTACTCTAACAGAAGCCCACCATGAACATGCTTCTTTGAGCTCAATTATCTCAGTTACAGATAAGAAATATCAAAATAAGTAAACTGATAAAATATTTATCCTACTGTCACCTATATTTTATCAGTTGTCTCTTTTTCGCAATCTTTCAAAGGAACCAACATAATTGAGCTCAAAGTGGGAGCGGCTGAGCTACTCGGTTGGCGCCGCTGGCTGCGCTGCGGCTGCGCCACTTCTGTACTTGCATACTTAGAGCTTAATTATCTTGACTCCGGTAAGAGATATCAAAAATCTGTCAACTGATAAAATATTCATCATAATATCACCAATATTTTATCAATAGACAGATTTTTGAAATATTTCACAGGAAATGAGATTATTGTGCTCGTAATGCAGTAGTCAATATTTTAAGACTTGTTGAATTTCAAAATTTCGGAAAAGTCTGAAAATTCTGAAAATCCGTATTCATATAGAAGTTCTGGAATCCATAACTCTTAAATTGCGAGATTCGATTTACTCTAAATATTCGGAAAATTCTGGAGTTCAAAAAGTTTTGTTTTTGTAATTTTTGCAAAGGTTTCTCAACTAGCAAAATTAGAAAACCATGTTAAAATGACCTAAAAAAGCACACTGGGTAAATATTATGCTATTTCTAGGTCATGGAGGTTTGTGGCCTAAAAACTAAACTTGCGAAAGTTAGACCACCACGTTACAATGGTTTAGAAAACACACCAGGTGAATATCAAATTATTGCTAGCACATAAAAGTTGGTGGCCTAAAAAAACTCAAATTTCAAAAGTTAGGTCCCCATGGTAAATGGCCTAGAAGGCACAACAGGTTATACCACATTCCAAGTTTCGACTCTTGCTTCCTAGACTCTAAGATTCTTCAATCCTAGAGTCCGGGAGTCTTAGGTCCATCCAATTCCAAATTTCCCTTCTGTTATCTTTTCCGCTAACTGATCATCGAAAACCAAATCATATGTCTGCCTGAAGATACGAGAATAAATGAAATAGAAATTAAAAAGTATGTCACCACCAGGAATTCTTCAAGTGGAATCAAATCTCTCTTGTCTTCACAGTTTCTTTTTCTTCTTTCCAGGAGGCAATCAGAGGGATTCTCCTTCCTCTCGACCTCCTCGTTTTGTCTTCTTCTTCTTTTAATTTTTGACCCCGTTACATTTTGTCCTTTTTCTTGCTTGTCTCCAGAATTCATTATGAAAATTGCGTGATTATTCAAGAAGAAGAGATAATCGTCTCATAGATTTTTGTGTATGTACTTTCTTTCGAAAACTTCTTTTGTTGTGTCGAAGAGAGGATTACGGTAGATTATCCCATTTTCCGCGGTTATGTCACACAAAATTCGTCTTCCGATGAGAATCAGAAGAGGTGTTCCTTCCGTGTTTCTTAAGTTTTGTGTTTCAGACTTTTGAAAATTTCAGAATATAGAGAATCTAGAATATTGAGATCAGAATCTCAGAATCTTAGAATCTTAGAATCTCAGAATCTCGGAATTTCGGAATCTCAAAATCTTAGAATTTTAGTATTTCGAATTCTCTAAATTTCACGAATTTTAGAAAGAATTTCTAATTTATGATCGAAATTTATAATCAATATCTCCGATCTAATTCGATTATCTTTTGTTCGAAAGATTTCTTCGAAGTTCAGAATCTCAGAATTTCAACATCTGGAAATCTGAGAATCTTAGAATCTCAGAATCTCAGAATCTCAGAATCTCAGAATCTCAGAATCTCAGAATCTCAGAATCTCAGAATCTCAGAATCTCAGAATCTCAGAATCTCAGGATCTCAGAATCTCAGAATCTCAGAATCTCAGAGTTGCAGATTTTCTGGATTTCTGCGTTTTTGATTTTTGGAATCTCCCAATTTTAAATATTCAGAATTTGGAAACACTGACCCAAGTTTTGTCAAATTTCTGTGATTTTGGAGTTTTGGAACTCCCGAACTTTGAAGTGTAAGAATCTCCTATTTTTGGAGAATTTTAGACAAATTCTAGAATTTCGAAACCTTGAAATAACAATATCAAGAAATCTCGGAATTTCTAGCTCCTGAGTTTGGCAAATAAATCGGCGCTACAAGAGGATACCAGTCTATTTAGGGGTATCAAATCCACTATTAGGGGTCACAATATCCGATTTTTAAAGGTATTTCGTATTCCCAAACTATGGGTTTCGTACCCCAATGACATCCAAAATTTATGTACCCTCCAAATAATGGGCCCCGGTTTTTTAGAAAATTCGAAGCATCTTTCCAGAATTCCAATATTTCCCTTCCAACTTATCATGTCCAACAACTCCTCTCCTTTGAATCTATGCCCATCTTTTGCCCATTATTCCTTTTTAATATCTTTTCTCAATTGCTACATATATACCTATTCATTCGTTCTTCTTCTTCTTTACGTCTTCCTAAATCTTTTTCAAATCGTTCATCCGACAATGAATTCAACATAAAACAACGACATCCCGAGAGAGAATAGGGCTTCCGTTTATTTTCCTTTTTCTCTCTCATTTTCTCTTTTCGAACAATGATTGATTTCCAAGATTTACACCTGGATGTGTGTTTTGAAATGTCTTACTTTTCATTATTTATTGTTTCTGGGTAGGCTTGAGACTGGGATTCTGTAAAAGTTAAAATCAGAAATTTTAGATTTTTTTAATTTTCATCCTTTTTTAAAAATTTGTTTAAACTCATAATTCTCCAACATACGAACTATCAAATCTCCGGCTTATATGGTTTTTTAAACTTCTGCTTTTTTCCTATTTTGAT